CGGGTTTTTCAATTTCAAGTGCCTCTTATGATTTTATTTATTTTCCGTTAAAATATTGGAAAAGTAATAAGTTTTTTTAGTTTCTCAGTCTGAAACATTGCAGGTCTAAGTTTAACTTGTTTAATCTATTTTATCATGTCTAAATTGCATGCACCTGTCCAATTTGCGATATGATTAACGGAATTGCATCAATTAGTGGCATAATAAACAATATATAAAATGCTTTAATTACTGTAATTAATGTATATTATTGTAATCAATGCAATTAATGTATATTATTGTAATTATTATATATTATTGTAATTAATGTAATGTATATTATTGTGAATAATGTAATTAATATACACCGAAGAGCCATTACATTATGACCACCCTGCTAATAACATGTAGAACCACCTTTAGCCCTCAAAACTGCTGGCACTCGCCGTGGCAATGATTCCACAAAGTGCTGATAGGTAGTCTGAGGTATCTGGTACCAAGCGCTCACCAACTGGTCCTTCAATTCCCTCACATTGCGAGGGGGTAGCGTGGCAACACGAATTTGGTTTTCCAAGTAGGACCACAAATGCTCTACTGGATTAAGGACAGGTGAATTTGGGGGCCAAGACATGACTTGAAAGTCACTGGAATGTTCCTCGAACCAATCCATGACGATTCGACCCTTATGACATGGTGCATTATCCTGTTGGTAAACACCATCCCCCGCAGGAAAAACTGTTGCCATGAATGGGTGAACCTGGTCCGCAACTATGTTCAAGTAGCTTACAGACGTCAGGGATTGTTCTATGAGGAATATGGGTCCTAATGTGCCCCATGTAAACATTGTTCCTGGGCGAGAAATCATGAAAACCTGGGCGAGCCCATTGTTATAGATGGAGGGTGGTCATAATGCAATGGTTCTTCGGTGTATATTATTGTAATTAATGTATATTATATTATTGTAATAGTAGTGAGCTTAAGGGAATAAATAAGTCAATATTTTTTCAAGAATAAACATCTTAAAAATTTTTGTTTTTATTTTTGCCCTTTTAAAGCAGTTTTAAGCATTATAGATCATTATCATAAGCTTTACTATAGATATTCATGGGTATGGAATGAAGCTCCACAATAGATTTGTCTGCTTACGGTTAATAAGGGTTTTTCAATTCCAAGGGTCCCTTATGATTTTATTAATTTTCTGTCCCACTTAGTTCGTAACAAAAAAAATGAGCAGCTTAAATAAATTATTCAATACTTTTCACGATTTGCACAGCATAGTAGTTTTAAATTTTTGCGTTCTTAAAAACTACATTCAACTCAAAGAATAAGAAAATATTCATGCCTTCGGTATTTTGTGTGTGTGTGTGTGTGTGTCAGCCTCACTTTATGCATCGTTTGATCGGCTTAATTAAATTACCAAACAGCGTTATCATTTGGCGTAACATAGCAAATTCTGGTTCTTGTATCGAGCAGTAATCGTAAAAGCATGTAGGAGTATAATATATAGTTTTTTTATAGTAAATAATAAATTACATTAATTTCGTTATAGTAAATAAATTTAACTAGCTTCTGCATTAAAGTAATTTCAACAAAATATTTTGCACTTTATGGTTTTTAGTTCATTTTCTAAGAATATAAATTCGTTAAAAATAATTTCAAAGTACTTTTTGTTTGAACAGTATTCTCTTGAGAAATAAATACAAAATGCACTTACAATGTGAATTGTCAACATTCATTGTCTACGCTTGAAGTACATGACAATAAGTTTTGATAACACCGCAATATAAATAAAATGAAGGTTCATTGCACTTTATCAAAAACTCTACTAATGCGTTAAACATTTATAATCCATTATTCTTCATCTTTTAAATTGGGGCACTTTTAAAGGAAGAAAAGACAAGAAAATAATAAACGTAGAGAAGCTTTTTAATCATAAATTTTAAACTAAGATCACTTTTATATTTGAAGGAAAATTTTCTCGGGAAATAACTTTTAAAATCTCTGGTCATGTATAGAATTTTAGCTTCATATTTTAAACTCTAATTGGTAACATGAAATTTTTTTGCTATCCAATTTGCTTGAACACAGATGCTAAAATTTTGATGGAAAAAAATTACATTTTACACTCTCTTGAAAGCTTTGACATGTTTTTTTTCTCCATTACTTCGAATTTTCATTTAATTAGTTTTGCATTTCACTTTTTGTTTGTTTTTTTTTCTTAGAGGCTCTTGCTTATAATTTTGTATAGACAATACTATTTATGTCAATAATCTATTATATATAATTCTCTTACGTGGCTCCCAAATTTTGGCAGTATTTCTTTTCCGCCGGTGGCAACGTTTGCTTCGTTTTAAAAACACCAAAGCATTCTGCCTTTTAATGATGTGTTTCTGATCTAATATATATAATTCTGTTACGTGGTTCCCAAATTTTGGCTGAAGTACTTTGTACAACTAAATAAGATTCTTTTCACAACAGTTAAATATTTACTTTATTTTCTTCATTCGTAGAGAAAACAGTCGGCAAAGAATTCTGTTAGGTTAAAAAACATTTCGCTAAAAAAATAACGAATTCTAAAAGAAATAAAAATAAACAACTTAAAAAATAAAAATGCTGTTGCACATTGTTTTGATGAATTTTATTCAAAGGTAATATTAAAAGTAAATTTTTCATTATTAAAGTTATTTCTTATCATAAAGCATACAATTTTTGAATAATGAATTGTATAAAAAATCGTAAACTATAAATAATTTGAATTATTTTTTCCTGAGAAATACACGGAGGAAGAATTTTGGTTAAATAACGTTACTGTATGGTAATGACATTTCTGGTAATAAAAAAAAACTGATTCTGGTTATTAAAATCAAAATATACGGTATTTAAACCGCTCATTTAGCAATTTTTCCGTCCCTATATTAACGAATGTTCCTATAATAACGACTATATTAATTTTGGTTTTCAAGATTATAGATCTTATTACCACACATTTAGTAAAAAATATGAAACTGAAAAGCAAATTTAGCAAAGTAAATGGTTTCTATGCCATGCTCTAACTTATAATGATTATAAAATTTTACCACATTTTTCCAAACTTTATGACATACTATAAAACCATATATTATTGTTAATTTTCCCAAAATTCCTTTGAGCCAGAAACACGGTAAATTTTAGCATAATTTGGTAGTTTTGCTTATACTTTCTTTTTTAAACATAGAAATTTAATGCATAAGATAGATTAATTAGAAGAACTATTNGTGGGAAAGACTTTAAAACAAAACTTACAACAGTTACTTTTCTCAACAACTGAAATTTAGAATAGTGTGATTAAGAAAAATATGTGAACTGTTTGCAATTTCAAATTAATATTGAAATGTACAGGTTTAGAATTTTCTACAGTGAAAAGTTTTCGGAACTTCAGTATTCAAAAAAGTATACAAAAACAAGAAGTTAAGAACGTATCCAATGAGCGAGCAAAGCGAGCATTGGATTGCGAAGCAATCCGAAATGAACTGTGAAAGCAGTTCCGGGGGTTGGTGAGCGTCAGCGAGCAGGGGGCGAAGCCTCCTAGTGTTAAATAATAAACGTATTTAAGGTGAACTAAAAAAATAATTCTGGTTTTCCAGGATCAAAGACGAAAATCGTAAGTCAATTTTCAAAGGTATAGGGGAAATTCAGTGTTTGTAGAAGTTTACTTCGAAAATAATGATGCTTACTATGCAATTTTTGGCTGACCAAAAAAAGGAATAATAAAATTATTAACGTAAATCGCAGAGCGCATAAATTTTAAAAGACGTGGGAGGAAATTTCTTGGGAGATAGAAGTTAATCAAAAATGTGATGCACTCTTGCTTTTATTTCTAGGCTGATAATTATTATTATTTTTTTTTTAGTGTCCTTTAAAAATGCAGTTCTTAATTTTCTTCACTTTACGCAGCTATTTTTCTACTGGTTTTAGACAAATGTTGGTTATGGTTGTTAGTTTAAATTAGAATTAGAAGAAATAAGTGGAGAAAAAATAGCTTGTACTATTTAGGAAACTATAGGATTATAGCTCTAGTTAAAATTTGAGTAATCCAACTAGTCGTAAATTGATCAAAATTTCTACTCACTGCAAACTAAATTTCTAGATATAGTGGCAATTTTTAATTACAGTGATCAGGAAACAACTTCAAAGAGTATTGTTATCAGGCATACAACTCCCTTAGCATGCCCAAAGTTATTTGAAATTTCTGTGTAAGTTAGTGATAATAGTAAGATAAATCTGATAGTAGCCTCCGGAAAACGATCGATTAAACCTTACAATGTCATCAAACACAGAGGGGCGTTTACGATTTCGGCCATTTAGTTCGTCGAATAAAGGTAATTGTATTGACGATACATTTTAATTATCAATAATATTACCATAAATTGTGTCTTTGGCTTTCACAAAATAATTTAAACTTGTCGTATCCTCTAGCACAGAGCCTCAGTTAAACTTGTAATGAGCTAGCTAATCTTAAAGCAGAGGAAATTCGATAACAATCCCTTTGACAATCATGTAGCAATGAAATATGTTTGTAGCGATTCAAAAATGGTTTTAATTTGTATTGTCTTCTAGAACCGAGTTCCAGATAAAATTTGAGTTCTCTACCTAGTCTTTAAAGTATAAAAATTTTAATTGATAATGAATTTGATTTTTTGATTCGGTTCAGCGATTTAAAAAAAAGGTGATATATTTCATTTAGTGTTAACACCAAATAACGTTCAATTCTGTTTGACTTCAAATTCTGTTTGTTTAACTCAGAAAACGATCCAACTTTGTAATGTCACTAGGCGACGGAGATGCAGTTAACATTTTAGCATTCTAGCTAGCCGGAATTGAGTCGCAATTTCTATTGCTAGATTCCGTCGTTACAGGCACGAAAGCAAATTAATAAAAATGTTGATAAATGCACTCTATCTTTTCTTAGAGCTTTCTTGGATGTAATATGACACGTAAAATATTGTATGCAAATTCAAAATACAAAAATAAAATTAGCTTACTGAGACACTCTTCTTCAGCAAATGTGGCAGAGAAAAAGAAGAAACCTGAAAAGAGAATTTAGTTACATTAATTTAAAAGGCAACACGCTTAAACACAGACTAATCTAAGTTTATACTCAAAAAGTTTTCTTTTCACTTAGGAACTGCTCTAAACTGTATTGATCTTATTTTTAAGAAACATCATCGATTGATAGTAAACTATTAGATGATATTGTTTGGTGTCAATTTAATTAAATACATTCTGTAATAGTATTCTGAATGTTGCAAATCGTGATCCATTTTTTTGGCAGATGAGATCAGATTTAGGTAAGGCATATATATATANAAATTTATATATATATATATATATACAAACCCCTGTCTCAGAATGAGGCTGCTCCAAACCTAAACTTATTAACTACAAGAGATTGAGCCGCGTTATCTCTGGGATATAGCATCTATGTGGCTGATTGGTACGAATTTAACTTCAGGCTCTCATTGACCACAATGCTATGTAAAGTATATTTAGTGGTAGATGGAACATGATTTAAAATCACCTTGGGTAGCTTTCCTGGTTTTCCTCTCTGTCTAAAGTTAATGCGTTTTATTTTCATCAAAAAGTCCTCTACGAAGGCAATACATGATAAAGGAGTTCCTTTGTCTTCGGTTGGGTTAATATTTGCAAGGCTACAGAAATGAATATTAATAGTCGTAATCCAGGAATGTCAAACTCGCGGGCCGCATGCGGTCCGAGATGAACATTTTTGCGGCCCAATCAATATATCCGATGCAAAGTAAAAATAAAATAGAAATTTGAATTAGAAAGGAAACTAGCATATGAAATTATAATATACTTTATTTATAAACTATTCGGATCATTTTAAATTGTACACGCGAAAATGTAACATTCTAATTGGCTTGCGGCACCTGCCCTTCCAGGGATACTGCATCGTATCAAAAATACGCAGAAAAAATTTCAAATCTTAGAACAGAATTTGAAAAAAGGTTTAATGATTTTAATTCTTTGGAAGTCAAATTTTGTTTGTTTTCTTCAATTTTCTCAATAAATATAGACTCAGTACCCAGTTATATGCAAATGGAAGTGATTGAGATTCAGTGAGACTCAAATTTGAAGGCAAAATTCATTGAAGTGGGTGTGCCTAAATTTCACATATATTTTCCGGCAAGGTTTGAAAATACTCGAAATTTCGCATTTGTAATTATTTCCATGTTTGGAAGTACTTATCAGTGTGAGCAATTATTTTCTGTTATGAATGGAAATAAATCTCCTGTCCGAAACCGTATTAATAACGCTCACGTTGGGTCAATTTTGAAAGTAGTCTCGGCCAATAAAATTTCTCCCGACATGGGAGAGATAGTAGCAGAGAAGAGATGTCAAGTATCAAACAATAATTTAACTTCATATATGTTTATTACAATGTACTATTCTAAATAAAAATATTTGTTTCTATGAACATTGATTTTTTTTTTTTTTTGCGGCCCACCTAAAGTTAAGCATTGTTTGTTTGGCCCAAGATAGCTTTTGAGTTTGACACCCCTGTTGTAAACTAAGAATCGGGTCGGTTGCTCAACGCCAGTTATAAAATAAAATAGAATTACTAAATATTATCGTCTTTTGAAAAACCAGGATTCTACTCCCCTTCAGAATCTATATGATCAATGTCGTATCGTTTAACAGTTTTATTTAGTGCAAAAGAGCTCCCGAATGCTCTTTCACTATTAATTATCTAATCATTTCATCCTGTACTCCACTAAATATAAAAACTAGCTTTCTCATGTTATTGGATTTAGGAGAAAATTATATTCTATATAAATCCTTTTTTTTCGATATTGGTTCATTCTTCCATGCCAAATTGTTGAATAGTTATTTTGTATTTTTTGACTTAATCTTCATACCAAATTCCATTTGAATTGATCTAGTGGTTCTGGAGATTTCCAGTAAAGTTCTGAAATTTTAAATGAATTAATCGCATTTTTCATACTTAATTTTTTATTTTGAACAAAGGTGTAGTAAGATTTTCTGTGCACTCAATAGAAAACTTCATGAAACATTTTGAAGGAAACAAAGAGATCTCAAAATTTTTATCTAAAAATAAACTTGAAATTTCTTATGAAGATAAGAATGATTTTAATTAAAATAGTTTTATTTTTAAAAAAGTATTCTTTTTCTAAGTATTCTAGAATTCCTTCCGAGCAAGAAAAAAAAGGATATTTTAAGTATCTTTAAGGATGTAACGATAAAATATTTCAGGAATTAAAAAAAAATTTCAAACATTTTCATGCTTCTTAATTACTTCCCTTAAAACTCTTATTTAATCTGAACTAAGCGTAAAAAGTTTAACTGAGAAGAAAAATGTAACAATTTATTGATTTCTATGAAAATATCAGCGCAATAGCGTTTAATTTTTAGTTTATCTTTTCTTTTCTTGTTTTCGTATTTAATATTTTATAATAATTAGTTTCATTTTCTCATTAGTAATCGTGAAAAGTAATACATTAAAAGGAAATGCGTAATTTATTTGTAAAAAAAATTTTATAACTTTGCTTTGTATTTTGGTTAGAAACTAAATTGTAACATAAATAAAATATTACAAATTTTCATTATGTATGTCTTTAAAAAAATTCTAATATTATTAAAATAAATATTAGTACAGGAAGTATCGGAATCGCTAATCATTGGAATCCTTGTCAAAAAAAAAGTAAAGAAATATAAACATTACAATCGTAATTCAGTTTGTGAGCAAAGATAAATGAAAAGCATTATTAAAACATACCGAATTCATTTTGAGGAAAACCAGACAAAACCAGTAAAAAAAACTTTTTCTTTTCTTTTTGTGAAACGTGGAAGTATTTTTAATATCAGGATTGCGATTTAGGAAGGATGTTCAATTACGTAATCACTTTCGGGTCCAGCATTTTGCAAAACTCACATTTTCAGTATTATTAATTTTTTTTAATTGTTAAAATATTATCTCCCGTTGCATTTGAAAACACTCTAACGTTGGACTGTCTTTAATAAAATTATGCAATTTTTTTTCTGATTGAAAGTCATTGAGCTTAGGAAAAAATAATATTCTTCAATGAATGAAATCTAAGTGTTAGAAAAAAACGTTCCCACTTTGCAAAATTCTTACAAATATTAGAATAAATTATTTTGACACTATCAATGCCACTTAACCTAACTTTATCAGTAACAAATGAAATATTTCTTTCTCATTATGTTCACTTTCTCCCCCATTTTTCTCTATCTAGTCTAGCTTCTATCTATATCTCTCTATTTTCCGATATATCTCATAACTCCTAAATCTCCATCTATATCTATATCAATATCTATATCAATATCTATATCTATATCAATATCTTTATCAATATCTATATCAATATCTATATCAATATCTATATCAATATCTATATCAATATCAATATCAATATCAATATCTATATCAATATCTATATCAATATCTATATCAATATCTATATCAATATCTATATCCATATATCTATATCCATATATATATATCAATATCTACATATCAATATCTATATCAATATCTATATCAATATCAATATCTATATCTCAATCTCTCTGTCTATCTTTGTATCTATATCTCTCTTTTTCTCTATCTTTCTCTCCTTCTTTCTCACCCACACAGTGTCTTAAGAGACTCGATGATTAGTAAGAAATCCTTTCTGGTAAATTACTATTTATCGACATATTATAAAAATTAAAGTATAAAAAAGTAAGTTCAAGTAACCATTGATGAGAAAACCATAATGTTTAAATACTGAAAAAAAATTATAATAAAAATACAGACAAGACATTGTAGAATTATTTGGGATTAAATTATTGTAGAATTATTTAGTATTAGTAGGGAAATTATCCTGCAATACTTTATTTGCATTTTAATATTTTGAAAAATATTTATATTTCAACATTTGAATCAAGATGTTTAATTTAAGTTTAACTAAACTCTTCTCTAAACTTTAAAATACTAATGGAGGTAATACAGAATTTGATGTGAAAAGTTTCTTTCACGGCATAGCATCCTCAAAAGTAAAAGGCATTTTATTCAGAGAAAGTATGTATTTATTTTAATATCGTAACTTGAATCTATCTATACATCTATACATAATAATAAACGCGGCTGTGTGTGTGTGTGTGTGTGTGTCTGTAATCACAATATATCTCCCCAGAAGCCTCGCCCAGGCACAAAACTCGGCACATAATTGTGTCTTGACATAATGAAAAAGTATTTTTTTTCTTTTTCAAAAATTTTGATTAGTTATTTAGTTATCAGTCATTTTGTAAGTCTATGCTTTTCGTCTGCTTTTTCGTCTTCAAAGAGCCATATTCAAAAAACTATTAAAAAATGCATATACTTTTCCCCACTCTTATAAATGTATGCTAATGCGAACCT